AGTTGATTTATGTAAAATTGTAATTTGTAGATATTAGTGGTTCATGGAATAATTATTCTTACTAGGACAAACTAGGTTAGACACTTTGTATTTAAGAATGTTTTTATGTTTCAGACTATATTCCAAGAGACTTAGAACAAGAACATAAACATTCTAAACACGTTGTGACTGTCAGCGAAAACATTATATATATATATATGTATATATGAAAAGATCGATATGAATAAAAAGACGTTCAGAGAAAATGAAAGACTTATCGGAACAAACGAGGCAGAGAAGGCAAAATCTTGTCGCAGACAACTGTCAGCGTGCTTTCTAGGTAACATTTTAAAACAGTTCGACTAACTCATATAATATTCTAGTTAATATTTTTGAGAAAAAAAATACCTTACTGAAAGTTTTTTTTTACTCGTTTGTCTATTTTCTAAAAACAGACGATAGTGCACAACAAAATATGTAATCAATTAAAATATAAGGTATGTGTTCTCAATCTCTTCAACTCCTCAAATACCTTACACTTAAAGAAGTCTCGAGTTCGAAAAAAATTGGGTTTGAATTCAAACTCAAACTTTTCAAATATCTAAAATAGTAACTATTAGCGTAAACGCAGTGTTAAAGTGTAATAGCATCAGAGATATTTGGATTATTTTTTGTCAAGTGTTCGTATGTTGTAATTTTGGACCATATAATATCTTTTTCACTCAAAATGAGTACCCATAACAAAATCTAACTATTTTTATTTATTTTTTATTTGTTTAAACATTTTAAATTAAACTCTTAAAAACATTTAAAGTCAACGTTTAWTTTCTACTGCTATATTTATTTAATATATTTTATAAATTCTAAAAAGTTTGAAAGTTTGGATAAGATTAAGAGAAAAAGTCAGCGGACTATTTGTTTTCTCTTTCTGACTTATGTACARCATACCAAATTTACGTTTAGCAAAACCAACCGTGTACTATTATTTTTAATATTAGAGTGAATTAATCTATCATCAAACTCTAAGTTAAGAACATACTATACCTGTATCCATACGTTGGCTTTGTTTATGATATACCTACCTGTTTTAATGTTTATAAAAGTTATGAGSGTGTAAGTTRTTATAATTATTACATCTTCTTATGTTTGAGTATTTTAAAATACAAGTTTGACCCATCCCCAATTAAAACCATTGCAGAAATATTGTACCTACGTTTTAAATTGTTTACATTGTGTGCAGCCTCGTTGATGTCACTGTCGGCGGGCACAGTCATCGCGGGATGGTCTCCCACCGAAGGAAGTATCAAAGAAAATGATTTGAAGAAGTGGTCCACCGAACAGGAATCGTGGATCATATCGATTTACGTGTTAGGTGCGCTGCTTGGAGCATTACCCGCCGGCTTTTTGGGTCAAAAGTATGGTCGAAAGTCGCTGCTGCTCTGGCTGGCCGGCCCCATGATAGTCGGATGGATATTGTGTCTGTTGCGGTTGGAGAGCGTGAGTATGACATACATTATAGATAATCATTTTGTCGAAGGAAAATTATATACCCTAAAGAACTACCGTGGCTGATTTGAAAACTTGTAGGTCTCGGTATGACGCACGAAGTTATCTGCAGTGTGTGTCTAATGTAATGTATTTTTAACGGAGACATTTTTCATAGTCAATATTTTTACAGAACCTAACCACCCGCAAGTGTATCAAACATTATTTATACATTAGCGAACGTTATCGCATTTCGTAATTTAGTTTCGTGCTTAAACTAGATTAAAAGCAGTACTTATATGATATAGGTACTTAGTCCCGACGACAGTGTACGGTATTTTTTTTTTTTTT